AATCAAAAATTATAATTAGGCATAAATTTGCACTTCTCATAAACAGAATAACTTTTCTTTTACAGCAGAAGAGAGAAGAAAGAACGAAAATGCTCTTAATAATTTTCAGTCTGTTTTCTTTTACGTGAAGTCTTAGCTTTGGAGATAAACATATTAACAGTGTTTGTCGAGAAAAGAAGATATTAATAAATTGAATTAAAAAAGTATTTTGGAGGTAGAAAGATAAGCTATTACATTAGATTATTGAGAATTAATTGGAAAAGCGCGAGTTTTTCAGAAAACTCCTTTTTTCATTATAGAAATAAAATAGCAGTAGTTGTTTTGATCTTGAGATTGAAATGGAAATTCAAAAAATTAATTTAGGCTTTTTTAAGCTTTTAGTTTATCAGTGACAAAAAATAAATATCATTAGATATGAATGATTTAAAAGAAGCAGCTTGGAACTGAAATATCCAAAAGATATAAATATTGTGGAAACCTCATCAGAAACATATAATTTTAAAAACCCTATTTCAATAAGTTTCGATATTAAAGGAATGCCAAATTAGATTTTTAAAGATACTTTATGAATGCAGGTCGGTTCAGTCAAATCAGTCAATTAATGTTAAGAATATTTTTTAATATATTAGACTCATATATTATAGTAACGGTGAAAGGAGCTTCGGATAATTTAAAATATTAAACGTAATTTGAGATCCTCTCTTAGCCAAGAGAAATTGATAAATAGGTTATTTCGTGTATCCGATATGAATAAAGTTATCCAATAGACAGTGTCGCAGAACTCCATGTACAAACTTTGAGTGGAGGAAAAGAAACATGAACTATACTATATTGACATAAGAAAACACGAACGGACACGCTAGTAGTGAGAGGAGATACAGTTCGAAAAGGTCTGTAAAACTATTTATTAGGGAAAGCTTAACAGTGAGACGACTGGTAGATACTTGGTACGGTTTCCCAAGTTTGTACGGTTCCATTTGCAATGATGCATCGACGCCGTTATGGATTGCAAAATATTTTCAAAGACTTAGGAGTATATTAGCAGCGGATATGGAAATCCTTGCCGCGGAATTAATATTAGAAATACTAATATTACAATGTTTGCTTTTCCGTGATATCAGTGTTTCGTAATCTTCTCAAAAGCAACTATTTTCTGCTTCCTTTGTGTCTTGATATCTCCAGTTTCTATATGGCAAGTGAAGTCATTTATCTCGAGCATTAGAAAGAGCATAACCTTGTTTTTTCTACTGACATTTCTCAGAAGTAACGCATATTTTGTACGCACACTCTGTACAAAAACGGAAAAAAAAGTTATTTATCTCCTTTTCTACTGGGCCAATTGACGAATTATAACTTGTGTTTTTCATGTATAAGAAGCGCAACTTAAGATATATATTATATTTATGTATAGTATTGTTCTAACATAGGTATCTTGACACAAAATCAATCTAACTTTTTTTGAAGTTAGATACCGATTTTGTTTCATATTTCAATTCTTAGACACAAATTGCGCCAAAATGCGAAGTTTTGTAAACATCGCACGTGTAGTTCTTGAAAAAACAGCTCTCAAAATTTTAGCTCCTCAGTGTTAATTGAATTTAGTATATATTTATTAATGTTTTTTTAAATTTTTATTTAACTTACTTGACTTCTTCTTTCACAATTCGAAATTTAGATTCAATATAAATAAACTTCACACACATTTTGTGATTTATTTTTAAAACTTGTATTATTGAGTAATTTTTATAAATTTTTCGATAAACTTTTAAAATTATAACCTACAGGATTTTTACCATTACTTTTAAGTAAATGTATTTCTAGGCATACCTAAAAAAAACAGAGTATTTTATTTAAATGTTCGGAAGATATCCGTGAATTTATTTATTGGTGCGTCTTGAAATTTGGCGTATTTATAACCAGAAATAGTAACGCCAAATATGGTTTACGCACTTGTATTGTAAAGGAATTGTTTGAAAAGAAATTTCTATGTTATTTTTTTGGCTGCATGCTAATTTCCTTAATATATATTAGTTTTAAATTTTTACCTTGAAATCTTATCTAAAATCAAACGGCGAACCCTAGGTGTGCCCAGGCCGGGTCCACCGATAATCTAGGACAACTGAGAGATTGTATTTTTTGTTTCTCCGCATCTCATCGGTCAGTTCATTGACAACAATGCTCGTTTCAGCACTTTTTTTTTGAAGCTCTATTCAATCAGTGCGCCACTTTGGGCACATCCACAGAATTAAAGGGATAAGTGCTATCTTCACAAAATTTTACTTGTGAACTCCTCTAGGCCTAATTAGACTGCCTACCTTTTTTTTTTTTTTCATCAAAACTCCGACTTTAAAAGGTAGAGTGCCGGAAAGGGTTAAAGCTCCAGAATGCAAAGCTTAACTGTTGGAGAGAATTCCTAATGAATGTAAATGAAAGGAATGTTGAGAAAAATATATACACATGGTATAAAGCAAAACTTTATGAAAAGTATTGAAATCAGTGGAATTTGTCTCCCATATGGTAATTGTACAAAGTCGTTAGAAGAAACAATTAATAGAAGCTCATTCGTTTCATAGAATGATTAGGGCTGAAGCTTCAATAAATTAGGTTGCTAATCCAGATCCTCCCATTCACTCCGTCGGAAATTAATGCATATTCTTTGGAAGAGCGTTGAACTGCTAAACTTTCCAACCCTCGCAAGCGCACGCAGCAATACATTTACATATAGAAGAACCCAGATAGTGAAGGGTGCAGAATATTCAAATAAGAACACATGGCAAACCATTTGACTAAGACAAGGCCACTTTGAAAGTGAAGGAAGGATGTTCACCAGTGATAAGGAAATAGCTTTAACATATTCTTGGAATTGCAATGTTTTTCATTACTTCAGTGTACACTTGTTGGAAAAATAGTTTTAACAAATATCAGATTCTAAGTACTGAATTTAAATTCTGTTTTACATGAGGTACATGAAGTTTCAATTCATTCTAATATATACTGTCGAATAATACCTTACAAATGTCGAATAGTACAGTTACACAGTTATTCAGAAAAGTTGTAAGGTATTTCTCCCGCCTTCCTAGCGTGCCTTCGTGGTGTAGTGGTTTTGCACGCTGGGTCGGTATTCCAGAGGTCCGTGGTTCGATTCCCGGCGAAGGCGATTGCATAATTTTCATCTTTCTGCTTGCAAAATTTACCTAATGTCTCTACAGTGGCGCCCGAACTAAAAAGGGTGTTGGATGCTGATTCTCCTCACCTAGGATTTGGCGATTAGGTCCTCTAAAAACCCCAGTAGCCCTTTAAAAGGGGGAGTATGCAAGGTATTTCTCCGCCTTCCTAGCGTGCCTTCGTGGTGTGGTAGTCTGCACGCTGGGCCGGTATTCCAGAGGTCCGTGGTTCGATTCCCAGCGAAGGCGATTGCATATTTTTCATCTCTTCTCCTTCCAAAAATTATCTAATGTCTCTACAAAGTATTCATTCTTATTAATTAAGTTTCTTCTGATATTTTAGCAGTGCTAGTTTTTGTTTCAGGTTATGAAAAATTTAAGGGTGGTAAAATGCAGTATTTGCCAGGACTGGTTGCAAAGTATTCATTCAGTAGATAGAGCAGATGATATTTTGGGTTTTCTTAAAGAATTAGATAAGGGGGAAATTAAAAATTTTCCATCTGAAGTTACTTTATTAAAATCTTCAATTGTATATTTCTTATTTGGTGAAGTTTTTAAAACATGGAAGACACATTTCTTATGCCAGGAAAGCAAATGGATAATTTATATAAGTTATCTTGCATACACTTAAATCGAATTAACTTTAATTTAACGGATTCTTGCACTTGTGGAATGACTTTACATACTCGGTTAGAAAATATGCTTGATAACTTGTAAAATAACTTGTATAATAATTATACAAAATATAAAATTAATATAAAATGTTTATATAAAAAAGTTAAAAAATGTAATTAATTTCAGTTAATAAGTCACAATTGTTTATTTTTATTTATGCTTTGTTTCTGCATAGATTATGTATAATATGTACCAAGTATGTATATGGTACAACTCCAAGTTTTTATGAATTTATTTTTAATAGTATTATAGTCCTGTAATTTGGGGAAATCACTTTAAAAAAACCAAGCCTAATCACTTACCTCTTGGATGGTTTGGAAAAAGTGATTCAACATAAAATTGGAACTAGTACAAATAGATGGCTGTCTTTTTTTATGAATGTAATTAGCATTTAGTTCTTTGAAATTATATTGAAAGATTTATTTATAGCATAACATGCATGTAAGTTCATCTTTATATTAAAATTTTCTAGCACCTAAGGAATTTTAATTCATTTCCCTGTTTTGACAAAATTGAGATGTCCAGATTTTATTAGTGAATAGAGTGAAGAGAGATGACTATGATATTTGCCTTCTAAAAATTTATATAGCTGATGCGATGGTAGCGGCATGGAGTTTTACGAAATAATTTTGCCCTTAATATTTGTTTTCCTAGTACGAAAATCTGAAATTTATATCCATAAATCTATTGAATTCCCCCCCTTATGTGGATTTTATATTATTTTGGGAATAAATTTGATTCAAATTACATAAATTGATTTAATTTTGAGCAAAATTACATAAAGTTCGCATGTGGTGATTCTCAATGATATTTTTAGTTACATAAACAAAGTACAAATTGTTTTAAAAATGGTTGAAGATATACGTTTTTACCGTCTATAAAAATATTGCATTGAAAGCGATCGGCTATTTCGATCACGTGACCTTCCGAAACTGATTTCGCGTCAAGGCCGTGATACAATCGGCTGTGATTGAACTATAAAACTAACGGACAGATGCCACGTGATCACTGAAAGAGCCGCTCTCCCTTTGCGTCTTGCTGGATTTTGATATTTCACTTAGATGTTCGATGTATCTGTTAACCTTATGTATGTTTTCTTTCACTTTAAATCGTGTTTTTGTGCAAAGATCTATTGATCATTTGCATTGATATCTTTTGAAGGATTGTAATAAAGAAGAGGATCGTCCTGACAAAAGAACCTGCTGAGGAGAAGGTAAGCATTTCTTTATGTTTTACCTTTACTTAATTGAATTTGGATTAACACAGGCTGCTTTGGCATTCAGTTTTGTTTCTGGACTGGAGGCATCTCTTTTTTAATTAATAACTTTATTTATTCACAGAATTTTAAAGTAAATTTGTACATTTAAAATATCAACGATGAGTTCAGAAAAAAATTTATTAATTTATATTGTCATAAAGTAATGGACCCTTAAAACGTGTAGACCTTTAGTTCATTGCTTAACCATGCATGCCACTGCAACCTTTTAAATTTGTTTGTAAACTGAATTGAAAATGTTACGCATTCATTCAACATGTGTCTTAGTAAGAATTCTTCTTGTACTTTAAAATCAGAGGGCCGTCCAATCGGTGTAGTGGTTTGTGAGTCTGACTGCCGTAGCGATGGGCCCGGGTTCGAATCCCGGAGAAAGTATGATTGTAACTGTCTGTCCCTTCATAGGAGGGAAGGGTGACCTCCTATTTAGGTATTTCTATAATGAAATGGCCACCACTTCCGCATTGTCGTAGTTGCGCAAGGCCACTATTAAACAACGAGTCTGACCATTAAAAAAACTTTAAAATCTGAATCGTGGATATTACTAAAGTGTCAGATAACTAGTTGGACACAAAGACTCTTAGACTGTAGCATGACATTCGATAATGCACGAAATACTGCACGATCATTGCACGAAAATACAGATGCACTGCCAAGAAGATCCATTGTGGAAAAGGGCCTATAAGGCTCAAAAGCTGGAACTAAATATAGCTTTAATGTTCCAGTGGTCAGAAAAATTAAGACTCTAGCAAAACACTTGAATAAGGCCTCTGTTAATATTGAGAAGTTCAAGAAAGTTCAAATTAAAGGTCCTTAAATGAAGCCAAAAATATTAACAATAGAAGAGAGGAGCGAAAAACCCAGACAGCAAAGAATGCCGACATAGATTGATAACAATACAATGTGGAATCGTGAGGTATACCTAATTCAAGTTATTATTCACCACTGCGACAAGTCAAACGACAGAAAAGTTTGTAGGTTGCAATTCATCATGCTTAGATCTTCAGTTCCTAGCGTTCTACTAAAGTTTTGCAGAAGACCCTTACTGTAAACTATTTTAGTGTTACGATATCGAACGATAAATTACCTGAACTTCTTGGACTTGGAACTATTACTTCTTCGACGGGGCCAAAACAAATGTAGAAGAGTAGATCAAACCCTATGATGTACATGAAATTCACAAAAGCTGGCGAACATGTAAACGAGGAGGATTGCAGTGTTTCAGTGTAGGAATAATATTTGAGATAATCATCTCTTGGACATATTTAACCGTTATACAGACTAAATCATGGCAAAATGAACTTACTAGTTGTCACAGACTATTTTAGAAAGTGGTAGAAGTTCATGCTATTTCTACCCAAAATGCTTCGAATGTTGCGTAGGTTCTTGTGCAGAAATAGTTTTAGTAGTAGATGAAACCCTATGATGTATATGAAATTCACAAAAGCTGGCGAACATGTAAACGAGGAGGATTGCAGTGTTACAGTGCAGGAATAATATTTGAGATAATCATCTCTTGGACATATTTAATCGTTATTCAGACTAAATCATGGTAACATGAACTTACTAGTTGTCACAGACTATTTTAGAAAGTGGTAGAAGTTCATGCTATTTCTGACCAAAATGCTTCGACTGTTGCGTAGGTTCTTGTGCAGAAATAGATTTCCTAATTTGGAATGCTTATTATTCGCTTTAATTTAGGAACCAAATATACTTCTACTGTGTTTAAGAGGACTGTGTGGAATTATCGGCAGGCTAGAGATTCAGAAAACTTCCATGAACGCAGGCTCAGATGGTAAACAAGAGAGTTATAATCCAAAGAGTTTGGATAATCCCTGATTATTTGCGTTATGACGTCAAATGCATGTCGAAAAACGCACCTGAAGTCATGTAACAATTTAAAAAAAGAAGCATATCACAGTGTTAAGTTAATGCAGATGGCGCTGCCATTACGAGTGCAGTTTATTTTTAGTTTATCACGTACCTACTTGCGATTTGGAGAAAAGAGTAGATGGTGTTTTCTTTGCAGTTATCCGTAGTTATTTTTTAGAACAAAAAATGCTATTTCATATCGTTCATTGCTTATAATTATTATTTTGCATCGCATCATTATTTTTTAGTTCTCTCTACGCGAGAACTCATGGGTATTAAGGCAAAAATAATTATTTTTGCTGAATTTTGATTTCGTATGCTACAACTATACCAACGTCACATAAGCCTTTTTTGTTTTTAGTATTTTCCCATTTTAGATTCTTTTTTTTTTTTTTTTTTTTTGCTACGCTTTGCTTTGGAAGTTTTTCTGTTTTGACTCCTATAACGAACATTTGTTTGGCATTGGCTCATAGATGGTTTTCGTGCTAATCAAACAAATTTTGATTTAACGGATTGTTGCTGACACAATTGAAAACACGCATCTGCTTTTTCATTTAAGGGTAAGTCATCTTTACCGTTTTCAGAATGGATTTAAAATATTTCATAATGGATATGAATTATTAAACAGAAACGAGTTGTTAAAGGAAATTTCACTAAATTGAAAGATAAATTAGGACATAACTAACGCAAATGGGACAAGAAATCGAATTTTTCAAAAAAAATTTAATAATTTAAGTGCAGATATTTCACGCAATTTTGATAATATATTTTGTAGCAGGCGACGAAAAAGAAGTTTCTGCCTATTTTCAAGAACATCAAACAGTTAATACACTTTATGATCTCTACTTGGATGTTCTCCCTTGATAATATTAGGTTAGTTAGTGTTAAGCCAGATTCTACCTAAGTAAAACTGCTGAACTTAAATTTACCTACCTTTAGTGGAAGCTTAGCTCGAAGGCTTATATTTAGCAACCTTGTCGTCCAAAATAACCATGAAATTGAAATATTAAGTTAATTAAATTTTAAATTTGACAATACCATTCCCTTCCTTAGTATTCTAAGTATTCGCAATGAATCTGATTTCAACACTACTGTTTACCCTTGTCTGTCTTGTTCTACTACTGTAAACCCTTGTCTGTTTGTTTACCGCCTCATGCTAATTCGTGTCACCCGGCTAAGCACAAAATGGTTTCTTTTACTATTATGAATTTCGCACTCGCAGTTTGTTCTACTCTCAGTTTGCCTGCTAATGAACTCGATTATTTGAAGTCAGTTGTCATTGATCGAGGATTTTCTCTTGTGGTCACTGATAAAGCTTTTAAAAAAATTTCAGCTTACGATCAAAGAAGACATTCCAGTATTAGAAATGACATTAATAACCTTGTCGTGCTTCCATTTCATATTTCTGTCGGTTATATAATATTGCACGGATTCTCTAGAAATTCAGTAAAATCCATGATTCAATGCTTAGATTCAATTTCTGACTTTAATTATTGGGGAGTTTATAGTATTTTGTCTCAATATACTAGTTTGAAATATGTCAGCCAAACTTAAAGCCAAGTTTCGTATCAAGGAACACGAATCATACGTTCGAACAGCCGAAATTAAGTAGTTTTCGACAGCTAATCGTAGTTGGAAATTTAATCATAATTTTGACTTTGGTTCGGAAAAAATTATTCAAAAATCTTCTTGAGTTGGTGAATTGGATTTTCTTGAAACTTTTCACATTCACAACGATTTATCTTATTTAGTTAATGACTTTAAGTCCAATCCAGTCCTGTCTAACGCCTTTAAAATTCTATTAACTTAATTTTTCAATTCCAACAGATAGCGCTACATTCTTGTTCGCTTTACTGTCGTAGGGTATAAATACGACCGTTACGCACGCTGCTTTCTAGGCTTGCATAGTTCTTTGCTCCTGATGAAGAGGGACCTGTACTTGTTTGCCCTCGAAATCGATTGTGTTATTGACAAAATCTACGCTAAACATAAGGCTCTTGCTTTGGTAATTTTATAAACGTGTTTCAGATTCAAATCAGAAATTTGCTTCGGATTTACTCGTAGATAGATTTTCGAATGAAGGAGAACTGGTGAATGCAATTTTAAAGAAAAGAAGATAAATCCTAAAGTCACGTCATAGATATTAGGAACTACTACAAATCGTCCTTATTGTAAGAAAAATCATTAGTTCTATAAGTGTGATCAATGCAGTAAATTGCCTGTTTATAAGAGATTCAATTTTGTGAAATTTAATAAACTTTGTTTTAATTATTTAACTAATGTGCATAATGTTAAGGCTTGTAAAAGCTTGAGCAGAAGCAAAACATGTCAAAATAATCAGAATTCATTATTACATTTTATGAAGTCTCGAGATGCGTTTTTTTATTTGAAAACATTCAGACTCCCCGTGCCCACCGATGTACAACACAGGGCTGATAAAAGTAAGTTATTTAAAACATTAATTAGGTGCATAAATAAAACGAACAAAAGCAAAGAACAGCAGTCTGGATTTTACGAAAACAGATAATGTCACTGGCCAAGTCAGTCCGAATATTTTCAAATCGTTCTGCAAGTATAATCTAAGGCCTTCAAATGTAGGGCATAAGAAAATCAAATATTCCACATCCTGAGGTACTGTTTTTGAACATTCACATAAATTGTTTGATCTTAGATTAAAAGGAAACAGGTAACTTGCAAATTTACCGTGACAAGATAAAAATTGGGAAACTTCAAAATTAACAGAGAGGAAAGACTCGGAATGCAGTCTATGGTAAATAGAAGGAAAGAACATTTTGGTGACCTCAGCTTTACAAGATGAAATATTTTCCTCATTGCACTTATCTAAACGCTTATTATTATGAAAATAATAATGCTAATGTTGATATCAATGAGTAAATTTAAGGCATTAAGTACACGTTATATATTTACATACATGCATCGTAAAAATTATGCTGCCTAGACTGAAAACTGCAGTCTACCTGACTTTCAGATTACTAAGGTAAAAATTGCGATACTACTGTCATATTAAATTGCCATGAATATTCATTTTGTATGTTAAATTTCACTTTTAATAACTGTTCACTTTTAAATGCGTCTGCACAAGAAATACTCTTCAAACAGAATGAAATTATCTTATTCGAAAGAAAATATTTAATTTATTTATATTTAGTTTTTAATGTCACAATAGATATAATCAGGTCATACAGAATATATATTTTGAATCTTACATACTTTCAAAATCAAAAGAATATAATAATTGAAATAAGAAAATACTAGATTCATTGCAATACTTCAGCACATCTCAGCTCATTAAAAAATATATGTATACACTTGAATTATTTGAATCCACAGGTGTTAGTTAATGCATAATATTTGAGGCTAATTGTAGCTTGAGTCATTTTATCGATGTAATGAGCGATAATATGCCGCGAACATCAATCCGAATATCAATGAGTGATAAAAATCGCAAAAGTGAAATGTCAGCGATTAAATAAACTAATAAAGCGAAAGGACTACGCGAATTTCTTCTATTACGCTATACATGAATGCAAATTAAAACGTAAAAACCATACGCTCAGATGCCCAGTTTCAAAGATTCACCGTCATAAGAGCAGTAGAAGCTGATTGGTCCATTTTCGAAACCTCTCCCTCAGTGGCTACGCTGATGTGCACTTGTGAATTATGCGAACGGGCTGGCTGCATGGACCTTTCCGTGTTTTTCCCCATGTGTACGAGCCAGTTTCTCTTAGAAAGTCCTCCACGAAGGAATTTCTCTCCTTAAGCAGATGGCCCTAGTGTGCTTCGTGGTAATAAACTAACTAAAGTTATTAGACTAACTTAAAGATTAGTTAACTAAACTAAACTAATCCTTCTGATAATTTGATTTAACATATGCTCAATGATTTTACTTGCATATGATCAGGAATATTACGATAGTTCAAATGACTCTTTTTTTTTTTTTTTTTTTTTTTTGCATTTTAATGTATTTGATTAAAATTGTGTAATATAGAAAAGAATGTTCTGTATATTTTTTGCGTTAATTGTAATTTATTCTAAAAATGTCACTGAAATATTCAATCTTAAGTTTAATCAAGATTGTATGCATGCGTTCTAGGACAACACATTTTGGGCGCCATATATAACGCCAGATTTACGTCCTAAATATGCTAAAAGTGTTGAACGACGGTAATATTTTTTCCTTGATAAGTGACTCATTTAAGGCATTATTTAATTTATATCACAATGAAAAGTGCTATGCTATATATACGTCAAGGATTTATGAGAAATTTTCTGTTTTTGCAGAGTGTTGTTTTTTCTGTCAGATGTAAAAATGGCAGTCTGCTGCAAAGTTAGTAAAAAGCTGTTAGCAATAAAAGTCACAATGTTTGGTTGGTTTGGAGGTAAGTATTGATTATAAAATTGCTTATATTTTAATTGAAAGCAATGTAATGAACTTACCGCTTTTTTATATAATCGAAAGTAAAACAATGAGGTGTACTTAGAAAGCTTCTAAAATAATTAAGACACAATAATTTTTGTTGTTTGACTTCTGAATTAGCTTCTAAAATGTTTTCGAAATCGTTTTCAGAATTTCTCCCTGGCATTATTGTTTCAGAAGTTGTAATATTTCATTATTTCAGAAGATTCGCGATGCGCTGACCACATGAAACACTTCTTGACACTATACAATACTTGAAATAACCACAGACCAAAAATATTTAATTATGTTTGAACTAATTTTACTTGTATCTGTATTTCATAAAGAGAAAATAATTTCAAACGATCTCTGTCTATAATGTGGCTTAATAAGTCGGTTCAAATACTTTAAAGTCACGTTGATTTCAATTTTATTTCTTATTTTCTACATTTTTATCCCCAAAAGACATTAGCCTCAATGAGTTATTAGTCTTCTTGAACAGTGGGGCCATAAATAGGAGTGTGCCTTATTTATTTTGTGGTATTTTATTAACTGTTGTAATTTAGGTGAAAATAACACACCGAACGAATATTAATTTAGATGTCAAACAACAAAAATCAGCGTTATATTTGCAAATTTTTACAGGACTAGTTTGGATGGTTTTAGCAAACTATAAAAATGATTTTAGCAAACTATCAGCCGCCCAGACGGTATATTGATTAGGGAAGCCTGACTGTAATAACAAAGGGCCTGGGTTCGAATTCCAAAGAAGGCATGATTGTAACTGTGCGCCCTTCATAGGAGGCAATGGTGGCCTACCTATTAGGTTCCTCCATAATAAAGAGACCAGCACATTTGGACTTGTATAAATTAATAGACTGTGTTACACTGTAACTGTTCACAATCTGCCATTGGGAAAAAAAAGCAAACTGTCATCCTTAGCTGCCAAAGAGCAAAGAACTGCTTTGCTTTAAAAAATAACGCCTGCTTGGAAAATTATTTTAACTGCAACTTTATTTTTGACCAAAGGGCCTGGGTTCGAATTCCAAAGAAGGCATGATTGTAACTGTGCGCCCTTCATAGGAGGCAATGGTGGCCTACCTATTAGGTTCCTCCATAATAAAGAGACCAGCACATTTGGACTTGTATAAATTAATAGACTGTGTTACACTGTAACTGTTCACAATCTGCCATTGGGAAAAAAAAAGCAAACTGTCATCCTTAGCTGCCAAAGAGCAAAGAACTGCTTTGCTTTAAAAAATAACGCCTGCTTGGAAAATTATTTTAACTGCAACTTTATTTTTGAAAGTGCAATTATCATCTGCTATTTGGCAATATTCTTTCCACACAAAATGGCGCTTTTAAAGTACCAATGGACGGAATACTATGTTTGGGCTCTTTCCGAAGAAAATTATTCGTGTTTAATTATTAAAAAATGCTGCGAAAGCAGTGAGTTTTCGGTATCTAAAGCAACGGTAAATAGTATTGTCAATAAGAGGAATTAAATTAAAATTTTGTCTTCAAGGAGAAAAATATTTCAGAATACATATCCAAGGAATGTTTCGAAACTTAAAAAGGTACGAACTTTAATGTTAAAAGAATTCTTCGAAATCAACAGTTGCATAATCATTAAAATGCTCAGTGTCAACTGTAAGCAAAGTGATTAATACTGATTCGAATATTAAAATACAAAAATCGTCTTTCTCCAACTCTCTGCAGAATTCTCTATAAAAACAATTATTAGAACAAAAATGGAAAAATGTTGTTGATGAGTTTTGGGTATATGCAAATGATCGAAATAAAAGGAGATCCATTTATTATCATAAAAGAGAAGGAAAAAAATTTTAGAGCAAGGTTCAAAGAATTTAAAGAAAGTTTTTCATGGGGATTTATGATTGCTGATGGTTTTTACTATAAAGGCAAATAAAAATTAAAAAGAGTGCAGAAGACTGTTAAGGATAACTCCACATGTTATCAGAAACATATTTTATATATGTTTCTGATATCTTTAGACTCACTGTATATACATAATCACAATTTATCCACAGTGCCATCAATCAGTAGAGCTGCATCAAGACAAAGCAAACAGCCGCACGTCAAAATCCACTGTTAATTTCGTGGAAAAACTGGAAGAAGAAACGTATGTAAAGGACATATTCTTCATTCATCTCCTTACTAAATCTCCTGATGATCCACGGATTTTTGCGCTTCTGGACTTTTACAAAGCGGATTGTCCAGATGTCGACCTACAACCCTCCTTAGACTTTGGAAAGCTATTCAAGAGGAATAAGATAAAATACCTCTTTCGCTACACACTAAAAAGCTTTATTATCTTTGAAATTACGGTGTAGGAAGATAATTGAAGAATAAAGTTATCTATTAGAACATTTAAAACATAAAAATATCAGGTAAAATATTTCTGTAAATACAATGAAAAGCGTCTAAAAATGTTCGAACATCCTTAGTATTTTACCCAGGTCTGAAGTAAACTCTTACGTAGATATACTTCGCTTTTAAATGAAAATTTTGCATCAGGATTTTACTTTTTGTTTGGTTTATTATTTTTAAAAGAAATTATATTTACTAATATGATACACAGTGCGTCTACAAAGTTTTAGAGCTAATGAATTTTAATAAATTCCTGGAACCCTGCCGAATGAAAATTGTTAGCATTTATGACACTATCATCTCAACTTGCTTTTCCTACTTTCATTGAAGTGGTTAAACCCTAAATAGAAATTTAATTATTGTAATTTTCTGAACGAACGAAGTAATTGTATAAACGTGCGAAATGTCTTGGAACAAATTTCGTCTACATGGAACAAACGCCGGAGGATTGTATATTGAAGAATAAGAAATAAGAATTTTGTTTTTTACGAAAGTAAGCTAAAGATTAAGAAATAAGAATTTTGTTTTTTACGAAATTAAGCCTACAGACTAAGAAATAAGAATTTTGTTTTGAACGAAAGTGAGCTTAAAGACTAAGAAATAACAATTTTGTTCTGTACGAAATTAAGCCTAAAGATTAAAAAATAAGAATTTTGTTTTGTACGAAATTAAGCCCAAAGACTAAGAAATAAGAATTTTGTTTTGTACGATATTAAGCCTAAAGACTAAGAAATAATTTTTTTTTCTTCAAATTTCTGTTTTTTTTTTAACAAATCAAGCCTAAAGACTGAAAAACAAGAATTTTCTTCAAATTTCTGTTTTGTACAAAATTAAGCCTAAAACTTCGTAGACTCACTGTATATACAATAATCACAATTAAATCTGTAGTAAATAAAAATATTTACTTTTTTCTAGCCAGTGCTTGTATTTTGCCGTTCATCACTGTTCATATGAAGGAGTTGGGGCTGACTGTAGAAGATACAACAATTATTTATACTTTGTTACCTATCACTCAGGTTCTTTTTTCACCGGTTGCAGGATTTGTTGCTGACAAACTGAGGAGATACAGAAACGTTCTTTTGTTCTTCTTAATAATGACCACGCTTTTGGCTGTTGCAATGATGTACGTTCCTGCTATAGAAAAGAAATACCATGAACCATCCATTATAACAATATTGTGTGACGCTGAAAACCTCGTCATCGGAAGTTGCAAAAAATTTTTTAAAAATAATACCTCTGAAAATGTGATGTATCTAGAATCTTGTCACTTTAAATGCAACAAAGCAGAACAATTTATTAATATCACTTGGCCAGTAGCAATTTACAGAACAAATTTTCTTAGGGAGTGTGAGTACAACGTAACATCGATTTGTGCTTTGACTACAACAATACTACCATCGAACTGTAGTATTATATGTAGAGAATTAAATGCAGTAGCCAATGTACCGTCTCAAACCACCAGAAAAGGATTCTACTTAACATTTACTTTATATGCTGTGTTACGAATAGCATATAATATTGTTACGGTCACGGCATCTACTCTCGTTAATTCTTCTGCGATAGCTCTTACTGAAACGAAAGCAGAAGTAGGTGAATATGGAAAGCAAAGGTAAGCATATAATATTCATCATATTTCGAATAAATTATTTAAACAATATTGTTGCCAGTTTTGTACTTAGCTAGATAACTTTAGTAGAATTGTAAGTAAAATTAGTGTATTTTTCTGTGTCATGCAGCGCGAGACAAATTTTTAAGAGAAAGTTATGCCAGAAAAATAAGAATACAGGGGCACGTTTATTTAAAATTAACTAAATGGGTATCTCGGTAATTTGGGGAGATATCGCTAAACTGACACCGGTTTGAACGACTTAACTTGTCGCCAAATTACGCCAGATATCGCCAAAAATCGCCAAATTTGGCGACACTTTGGTCCGGCCCCTGCATTAGCGTAATTAATATTCTAACTGTTTCGTAGAAACGTTTGTTAATATTACTTTTGAACTACCTGGCTCCTTACTCAACATTCTGTTTTGGTGCCGCGACAGAAAAAAAAAAAAAAAAAAAAAAAAAAAAAAAAAAAAAAAAAAAGAGCCATAACCAAAACTCTCATAATAACTCTCTTATCTTAACTCCTTAGTGTCTGGTGATTGTAAACTAAAAGCTTATGATAGACTAAATTGCATAAATCATCCGCACAGTCAAATAAAGTTTATCAGATCAATGCTCAAACTCTTCAACCAAGAAAAGATAACATCCTTCCTGGTGTTTTGATAAAATCGAAAGATCATTTATCAAAGAAAAATGGGAAAGGCATTTCCGTAACAACCTCATAGATACGCTATCTTTCTCTGAAGTAAAACTATTTCAGCTCTCCTTCCTGAAAACGCATAAATTTCAATACAGTTGTAGAGATAGCCATAAAAACGTTTTATTTAAACATACCACAGAACACTTCAAAGCATCAGGGTAAGATAAATCTCTCCAGTAAGAACTCAATCATCAGTTCAGATAAATTAAGTAATCAGATCGTACAGTTACAACACAATTAATTTTCTTACTTCCCTCAATAAGTTAACCAGGTTCGAAATAAGAAATAACCATGTTTTCCGTAACGATCACATGGGCGGCTTACCGTAGACCACAAGATAAAAACTCAAATAAAACATACAGTAATAAATCAAGAGAAACATTTATTAAATATTCCAAAAATTATGGTTTTAGATAGCTGGGATTACTGGATCCAGGTCCCTAAAACACTTTTCTGTTATTGCCTAAACAACACACATTCCAATTTCATAATACGAAATAATTCACATTTGAAATAATGAACAATTTATCTTCTAACAATTTGTAATTAATTAAACTACTTTATATAATACTGAATGCACAATAATTCAGTCAAAATTTCTTGTAAGAAAGATTTATTTTCCCTCAATTTAATTTAAATTATTACTAATCTCAATTACGTCTTTTTCTAATAACTTTCTCAAATTAATAATTAAGCCAGTAAAAAAACAAAACGAGAGAGAAAAAATATATACACTCACTGAAGCCGCATACGCAACAGTCTGGGACTCGAGGAGCCGCCGGACAGTTTCCTTCCTACCTTGAAACTATAATCGGTCGAAATCCTCTCGAAACTACCAATTTAAAGTCTGCTAAAGGCACTTCGTTTGGATTCTTCTTCCCTTTTCTTTCTCATAGTTCTCTCACACTACTCTTTATATAGTAGTTTGTCACATAACAGCTTTTGTTTTTGATGGCACTCCAGAAGTCCAGTTGAGACGAATGCCCACAAACTTCGATGTTCTCAATGAAGACAAATGCAAGCCGCAGTAAACTGTTGATGACGACCTTCGCGCTTAATAAAATTTTCCTCATCAGTAAGTTGCATCATATATCAACAAGGTAAAAAAAAAAAAAAAAAAAAAAAAAAACAGCGGCAAAATTAAAAACCAAAAAGCTGCTGGTCAGGAAAAACGCGAGACCTAGCCCCGGATCTTCAGACATACTCGTCGACGTCTCTCACGATGGGAGACCGCAACACGCTCGGACCGGTTCCGCAGCCTTTAAGCCACCAAGAAGTGGAACTAAGTTGGACTTGCAGACCGCAACTTGCAATGCGCACTTGGCTTCAACCTGTGTTGCTGTTTGGACGCTATTTCGCTATGCTCTCTTGCTATCCCAATAATATCAACAGTGTAAATGTTCTTGGAATAGGCACAATTAGAGTGCCAAGAGAATTTTTGCCACAAATGTCAATTCAAATAAAAGTGGATATGTAAGATGAAAAACATGTAAATCAGCTTTATAATTTAATTTAGTAGTAGTCTCTTAATTCCTCATTTTTAATTTAGGTATTTCGTCTGCCTATTCTAAAAATAATAGAAACATTTCTGGACGGCGCCATTTCTAGATTTATCCATGCCACAAAGCTTGTGTAACGCTGATGAGGTCCTTAATTCGGAACTTAAGCTCTGAGAACTGAAAACCAAAACCTTTCTCCTAACAGACTGCCAGACTGGATAAATGCGCACTTGGGTTCAACCTCTGTTTCTGCTTCGACGCTATTTCGCTATGCTCTCTTACTATTGCAATAATACAAAAAATGTAATTGCTCTTAAATAGGCACGATTAGAGTGCCAAGTGAATTGTGACCACAAATGTCAATTTAAATAAAAATGGAATTTAATCCCCCTCGACCGCCAAGTTTATTAGTCATGGATTTAACATTCTACGCAATCTGTGTTCTTCCTCTTCAGTATGGATCTACGTGCTTCGCCGTCGGTATTTTCTGCGTTTCTACATGTTTTTCTCTTTTCATTACGTATATATATATATTCACCCATTACACTGCTTAAAAGGCCTTACCCGGCTTTTATTTTTGTACGTATACGTACATACTATAAATTGGTCGTAGGCATATTTTTTCAATTACAGAAGTGTTTTAAATGTCTTTCATGTTTGGCAATGTCAAATTAAAAGTATTTAAAAATATATTTGCACCCCAAATTGAACATTTTCGTGTTTACCATTTTAATCACCAGAGACATTTGGGTTTCTAACAATATATTCTTGAAACTAAAAGAGTGTCCCCAATTTGCCTCTTAACTTCTTATGTGATTTATAATCATACAAATCATCTGTGAGCGTAGCGCAGTATTCGAACAGTAAAAGTTCATAAAGTTTAATAATTAAGTTAGCGAAGAAACTATTTTCTCATTAACTGAAACAAAACCTCACGTACCGCTGACAAGGAAGAAAGGAAGAAGTCGAGAGGAATAAGAGAAGAAGGAAAAGGCTAAGAACGTAGAAATAAATATTGGTAAAAATAAATGAAACTATACACCCCGAGGAATAATAAATGCTTATAGAAATCAAATGGGTTTGCGTTTTTGTCAATTTTTAAAACCTATTTCTTTTATCTAACAAAAATTCTGGGTTTAAAAACAATAAATGAAAAACTACTTAAAATGATAATAGTATTCGGGCCCAGTTATCGGAATTCGAGAAACTTCCGCGGAATTGAAGAGTGAATGCTTTTGCGAATTTGTGTTTAATTAAAAAACATTGCTATTGTATAACGTTTTCTGTTAAGGGGACTCGTACATCTCAAAACCCATAAAATATTCGAATATATGACTGTTGCAAGTATTGGAATAACTTATTTATTTTAAAAGCAATTACTTCTAACTTTTTACAGCTGACTACATAATATAGCTGCTTTCTGAAATAGTAATAAGAATGTTTGTGTTACCACAAATATTTATATAATTTAATCCACTTTGTGACAAAAACTTTCGTCATGTTTCCACTTTGCGCGCACAGTTTAAAACATTCTGTCGCATAATTTAATGCCATATTTAATATATAGCATTTATAACATTTTGAAACTACTGTGAGCCAAAAGTTTTAAGAATTTCATGTTAAATTTTTATTTTATTTGAAGTTGAGTTTATGAATTGCATTTTATTAAAAAACTCTGTTATGTTTTAGTGCATAATTTTTTTTTAATATTAAAACACTCAACAGATTTTTGGTTAGAAAATAGTGCCCATATAAAGAATTCCATCATATTTCAAGTATGTACCATTAGATATTTTTAAAATATCATGCTTACAAAGTGGAAACATAACGAAATATTTTGTCACAAAGCGGAATAAACTACAAAAATATTTGTGGCAATACAAACTTTCTGATTACTAGTTCCCATAGCAGCTATATTATGTAGTCAACTGTAAAAAGTTGGAAGTAATTGCTTTTAAAATAAATAAAATATTCCAATTCTTGCAACAGTCACATGTTCGAAGATGGTAAGGAGCTTAAGGTGTATGAGCCCCCTTAATATAAAAGGCTTTTAAACTAAACTTTGCATTTCATCTTGCTTGACATAAAATTTTACAATCGTTTTAAAATTTTCTTCTCTTGTTTTTAGGTTTTGGGCAATGTTTGCATTAGCAATATTCTCACCTCTTGCTGGAATACTAATAGATATTATTAGTGTCGATGATGGAAAAACCAACTATGCTCCTGCATTCCACATTCATAATGGTTTAATATGCATGGCAACTGTAGCAGCTTGGTTCGTAGATTTTGAAATGGAAGATAAACCTCCAGGCTACATCGAAACATTTAAGAACGTCTGGAAGCTGCTGAAGTTTCCTTCAGTATTTGTTTTCATAATAGTAATATTTTGGTTAGGAACAGTATGGGGATTCCTGGAGACATTTTTATTCTGGTTTTCACAAGAGCTTGGAAGCCCTGCTTATTTGATGGGCTTAACCATTACAGTCGGTTCTCTGTCAAGTTTGCCTTTCCTCTATTATGCGAAATTCTTCGTATCTAAGATTGGATATGCAAATTTAGTATCCTTCGGGGCCCTCATGTACATGATACGTTGTGTGGGATGTTCCTTTCTCATTAATCCTTGGTGGATCATGCCTTTCGAAGCTATGGAAATTTTTACGTACCATCTGTTATGGGTTACCGCTGTAACATACGCAGCTCATATTTCACCGCCTGGTCTTCTGGCAACTATTCAAGGCTTCCTTGATAGTCTCCATTTTGGCGTTGGTAAATATGACTTTAAGTTTTCTAAGTTATTATTACGATATACACTATTTATCAATACGTATTTGGACACCCATGTAAATGCCGATATCTGCGGTTCTGATATACGTCACACCCTCCACCATTAAACATCGTGTAGGAAAGAAGATTAGCATAGTTGTATGTAAGATTCCACAAAGTGCAAGAGTTATTTGATTTCCAGAAAGGTGTAATCCACGGGTATCGCAAAAGTGGCAGATCCTTATGGATCTGCCACTTTTGCGATACCCGTGGGGCACATCTAGTGATCTGAATAACCTAAATTTGCCAGTGGCCTATGTGATTCAGAAGTGGAAGGTCAGCGGTGATTATTGGAATGTGCTTCGAGTCGGTAAATCCTCGAAATTGGGAGTTGCGGACTGACGGCTATTGTCCAGAGAAATTCGAAGAAACCGTAGCCCATCGATGACCCACATAATCCTTACATCTGATTGCTTTTCGTGGTCGTGCTGCTCTCCATACATTTTTTATCAAAAAGCCCAACGTGCTGCTCGGTTACAGTGTGTAGCGAATTTTTAATTCTTTTCTTGTTGTTTAAATAATCAATATTTAAGTATTTTATTTGCATTTGATTTAAATTTGTAATTGTAAAGAGTGTAAATTTAACAGCTAAAATCTTTAGCTAGATATTGTTTCAACGGTTCGATTTTCTAACAAAGATAAAGAGAATTTCTTTGGACGGATATAACATCTGTGAGAATACTAATTCAGAAGTCAAACAACAAAAATCAGCGTTATATTTACAAAATTTTTCACAGGACTAGTTTCGATGGTTTTACCGAACCACCATCCTCAGCTGCAAAACCGCAAATGAACCGCAATTTTTCTGCTGCCAAAATTATTCAAAAAACATCTTCCATTGGAGAACTGGATTTTCTAGAGGCATTTCACATTCATAAAAATCTTTCTGTTCTAGTTAACGATCCTAATTCCAATCCAAATTTGCCTTCGACCTTTAAAGAAATTATGTTTTAGTTCTGGTTTCACAAACAGATGGCGCCACTTGCTTATTCTTGTCCAGGCCTTCTTATCTAATCATTATTTCCTATCTTCTTCATTTGCGGTTTTGCAGCTGAGGATGGTGGTTCGGTAAAACCATCGAAACTAGTCCTGTGAAAAATTTTGTAAATATAACGCTGATTTTTGTTGTTTGACTTCTGAATTAGTATTTATTCGGCGTGTTATTGTGTCTCAATCTGTGAGAATATCTTTTACGATAACAGAGGAACAGAAGGCGGTACAGTAGTGTTGTTTCGCATTGTCTTTTGCTGGGGGTTTCGCTATTGGGTGGTAAAAGGAAGTCTTAATTGGTGTCTTGCTGCCCTTTTTCTTTTGTGAATGCTGCAAGTATTGAATAAACGAGTTTCTTTTGGACGAAAAGGGTCTCTGTAAAATTCGTTTGATTATCATCTCTTGTTTTTCAGCTTGTTAGTTGGGTTGGAAGGTCGAATTTTGGTTTCTCACGATTTTAGGTGACGCTGGTCTACCGTTTCTTTGTACAACGTCTTTGCTTTTGATTCGTTTGAGCTGGTGAAGTTTTCAGCAAAATTAAAAAGAGAAATTCTCGAGCTGCTTATGCGGAATTTTTGGGCCTATAGTGTTCTGTGGTGGAGAAAGCGAGTCTTCTTCGGAACTTGTAAGGGTGTTCAATTTAAACAGTTTTGAGTTTTAAAATGTAAAGTTTAGCTTAAAGAGATCGTGGGCGTTTGCCCTGCGGCGGGCTGTCTGCGCAAGCGGGCCTGGAACGCGTTATCTTGTCTACTAAAAGAGTATTTTTCTGCTAGAAGATTAAATATGTAGTGCGAATTGTAAAGAGCATTTTTCCAAAAACTTTCAGCACAGATTACTTCACATTACCTCCTCTCTAATCTCTACGAACACTCTGCTGGTATGAACACTGCGTTGAAAACGAGTCATTTTAAAAACCACGGGCAGTATCCGGCTGCAGTGCTCGGTGTGGGTTTCGGCGGCGGTCCCTCGGAGGTCAACACAAGACGAACGTCGGACTGCTAAGGCTTTCTTATCTACAGGAGATGTTGACAATCTCCAGCAACAGAGGTTAGATGTATGGTTTTCATCACTTTCCGGCGGTTAGTTGTAAAAACAAAAGGTGTTCAGCGCTTTCCAGCAATTCGTATACAGAATGGACTTCAACACGCGAATGATAGTTTACCTGTATTTTAAGGCGTTTGTTTCAAAGAAATAAGACTTCCTCCGTGAGTGGGAATTTGGACACTCCTTAAAGATTGTATGTTCCGGAAAAAACCTGTGAGTGATGACTTTTCCCCCCAGTCTTTTCTATTTAAACTGTGACTAAGTAATGATAAATTATATTAATATACAGGAATTAAGTAATGATGAGTTATACTAATATACATATAAACGAAATGATTAGAAGATTTAAGTAATGACGTTGCTTTAATGTGTCTGTAAACGAATGATTAGAAAATTTGTTCAGCCATTTAAATCGTGAGTTATGAAATGTTTAAAAAAGTGTATACTTGCTATTTATATGAGTGTAGTTTATGAATGACGCATGTGTTAATTTATCTCTTAAGGTTAATTTTGTAGAATATTGATCAGTTATTCCAGCTTACCCCTTAAGGTTAATTTTGTAGAATATTGATCAGTTATTCCAGCTATCTGAATTTACTCGAGAATTGATAAATGTGTTTGATTCGTTTATTTTATGTTTAGTTTGTTATTTTGTGTTAATTTACTTGGGTCTGTCAAGTCACTCCATTAATTTGAGCAGTAAGGCTCTTAAGGAATTTGGAGATTTTACTTGGGGTATTGTTAAAACAGGGTTTCACAACGCGCACTTTAATTTATGTACTAACTACTAATTAATAATTATTTGAATGTTGTTTTTGGACAAATTGTAATGTTTTCAGGTGCTAGGATTTAAACTCTTGATTGATTTTTCATTGAGAAACTGATTTGATTGTGTATGAATATTTTTTGTCTTGTGTTTGTGAGGTTTTTGAATTAATGAAACCGATCTTAGTTGCTCTTGAGTTAATTTAGTAAATGATTGAATTTGTAATGTAAGTGAATTGAAGGAATCATTTTATTGAGAGTTAGCATACTATCTTTACCCGAGCACCAGCGAAGATTTATTCCTCTTTATTTTTTAGGTTAAGTTTTATTAAGTGTGAATTTGCATTGATTGAGTTAAGTGATTCTAAGAAATGTTTACTAAATGTGAATTGAGATAGATCAATCACGCAGTTCTTCTCCTACTCCTCACAGTTTTCAGATTATTTTTAGCAAAGAATTTATTATTCTTTATTTTTATAGTGTTTGTCTGGCACCAGTTAAGTTTAGTCAGGCAGTTTAAAGTTGAAAAATTTAAAAACAATTAAATTTTAGCAATTTAACAGTTAATGTGATACAAAGCACGTCGACAGTGGATCATTGATTAGTGGAAACGAGCTCTCTGGAGAAACGACTCAAGATTCACAATCTACTGTTCGGATGGCAGGGTCTGGCGTCTGACTGGAAAATGTCTCCTGTCAGAATGCATTGTGCCCACAAAAAAGTATGGTGCAGTTGGAATTGTATGTTTCTCTTGGTATGGACTGAACACTTAATCCAAATTCATGGTATACTACACACCGACGCCTCTACACTATTTTGGATGGCAGTTTTACCAGTTGGATCCATGTTACTTTCAGGATGACGTCGCCATCTCTAACGTTGGGAGATCCACTACGGATTGGTATGATGCTAATGGGTTTAACCAAATGGACTGACATCATGGAGATTGTGTTGAGAGGTCTATCCTAAGAAGTCTGTCTGATATACCTGGTTGACATCATAATCGTCGGGAAGAGTTTTTAACAACGTCTAGAAAATCTTGAAAAGCTGCTTTAAAAACTAATAGAAACCAATCTAATGTTAAATACCATCGAGTGTAAATTTTTCAGAATGGAAATGACTTATCGGACGTGTCATTTCTGCTGAAGGTCTGTGTACGGATCCTGAAAAATGAAAGCACCTAAAGACTTGAGACGCCTGGAAAATGTTTATCAGCTAAGAAGTTTCCTGGGGCTTTGCACCTACTAAAGGAAGTTTGTGAAGAACTTTTCTTCTGTCGCAAGACCCTTTCTCAAATACAGAAAACAAACAAAAGATCTTGTGGACAAAGGAATGTGAGGATGCATTTAACAACTGAATGAAGCTCCGACATCTGCTGCAGTCCTGACGTATCCTCATTTATTGTCGACATTTATTCATTTAAACCACTTATTCTCGACACGGATGCGAGCAATGAAAGTGTCGGTGCTGTTTTGTCCCAAGAAATAAACAGCCAAGAGCGTCTCATGTCCTAGTGGAGCAAGTGCCTGTCTAAACCCGACAGAATTTACTGTGTCACCAGAAAATATTTGCTTGCCATAGTTAAAGTCGCAGCACATTTCCATCGTTATCGTTACGGTAGAAAATTTCTGCTCCGAACGGATCATGCATAGTTGACCTGGCTTTTAAATTACAAGAATACTGAAGGTCAAATAGCCAGACGAATACAGAGACTTCAGGAATATGAAATCACTATCCATCATCGGAAGGGATCATCACATTGGAACTCCTACAACCTGTGTAGAAGATCTTGCCCAGGAAGTTTCCAATATTGTTCCAGGGTCGAAGCGAAATATGAGCTGCTGAATCCGGTCGTACGACTTCAACATCAGTTGATCGGGACCAGTGGAGTGATGACGAATTTACGTGAGGCCACCTGAAAGACGGCGACATTAGACTCGTACATAATTGATTTAATGAAGTCTTCAAACAGAAAAACCTACCTGGCAGGACATATTGATCTACAGTCCTACGACAAACACTATCGGGCTCTCTGAGACTCACTCCATATTTGAAACGGCGTCTCGTACCGGAAATTCGAAACGGATGATGGAAAGGCTTTCCGATGGCAGCTGATACTGCCAAGATCCCGGAACTCGGACGTTCTTAAATAACTATGTAGCAGCCCTACAGAGAGACACTTCGGAATAATGAAGACTTTGTCGAGAGTTCAAGAGCGCTACTATTAGAGTAATGCAAAGGCTGACGTGCAAAAGTTTTGCCAATCTTGCAATGCTTGTGCGAGTCGGAAAGACCAGCGAAACACAGCCAAGGCAAGATGCAATGTTAGGATGCAGAAGCGCCTTTTGAATCCTGCGAGGTCTGCCATGAGCTGCTGATGACAATAAAACTATCCTTGTTGTCATTGATTACTTCATCAAGTGGCCTGAAGCTTATTCTATTCCTGATCCAGAAGTTGTCACAGTAGCAGAAATAATAATACATCATTGGATTTCCAGGTTTGGAGTGCCTCTTCTATTACATTCCGATCAAGAAAGAAATTTTATATAGGCTGTAATTAAAAAACTTTGCAAGCTGCTCAGCATTGACAATACCCAAACGACACCTTTACAATCTTAGTGAGACGTCATGATAGAGAGGTTTAATCGAACCATCCTTAATAACCCCTCGTTGGTGGTTTTCAGAAACCAACAAGACTGGGACAAGAAGTTATGTCTATTTTTACTATTTTTGCTGGCTTACGGCAGTGCTGTCGACAAGATTACCGGCTATGCCCATCTCAGATGCTTTTCGGTTGTGACCTTTGCCTGCCTTGTAAACTCTTTTTTTTGTCGACTGCCGGATGCGCATTCAACGCCTGGGGAGTACATACAAGATATTCAAGCCCGGTTTGAAGCGATGCACAATTTTGCACATGAGCAAGTGCACCTGGCAACAGAGAAGATGAAGACTCGATATAACACGAGAGCTACGGGAATTCAGCAAAGGAAATAAGGTGTGGTTGTAGAATCCGATTCGACGGAAAGGATTCTGTCCTAAACTACAGTCACCTTGGGAGGTTGTTTACACTGTTTTAACTGGCTGAACGACGTAAATCATCCGTAAATCATCAAATTCTAAGCGTAAAATCGTTCATTACGACATCCTAGTACCTTACTATGGCCATTATACGTAGTGTATATAATGTAAATAGTATAAGACCAAGGACCGTTTTGTTTCAAATTTGTAAATTTGTGTACTCATTTATTGATTTAATATTTGATTTCTTTTAATTTAATAATTGCTATTATTTTTATGTTGTTTGTTACGGTATTGTAATGTTTATCATTGCAATGACGCTTAATTGTAAGTATAGCTTCCTGTCCAGGGTTTGTACTGCCCGGGACGTGCAGTCCTTGGGAAGGAGGCAATGTTACGGATACTGTATTTATTTACATATTTTTAGTAGAATTATATTTAAAATTGTTTCATTCCTCGTGCAATCCAGCTCGAGACAAATTTTAAGAGAAAGCTATGCCGGAATGGTGAAAAAACTGGAGGCACGTGCATTTAACTTTGAGTAAATGAATATCTTGGTAATTTGTATTCAAATTGAATAAATGTAATTTACTACTATGTTAGCTGTAACCGTAATTCCATCCTCATATTGTTTTCCAGTATTCTCGAGAAGCAGAAACTACTAGAAATATCTCGCGACCGGTTGAAATCTATAAAATGTCCAGGGAGAGGACATCTGAGTTTAGTTGTTTAGTTAATTGGTTAGTTATTGTTGTTGCGTATTGTAGTTCCGCGTGAATTGATATAAATTGGATTAGCTTTCTCTTTAAATGTGCTTTGCATTGCGTTCTGTGTGACGTTTTTAGTAGTTTGAAATATAACTACTGCGTATTACTCCGTGTTATTGTGAACATACGAATATATATGAGGAAAATTCCAACGTTCTGATCTATTTGCAATGTAGGCTGCAAAAAGTTTTATCTACTGCAAATTTTTATCTTCTTGATGCGTACTATCACCACTCAGAATTTTTTTTTTCGAATTCAGCAACACCCTGTGCATAAACACAGCCACAGATCGCTTATAATGCGTACTAATACCTTCGCAATGAAAAAATATTTACACAGGGTTTCGAACACAAAAACGAGAATAAAGTTATCGTCTTTCAAAATAAGCAATAGTTTGTGATGTTTAATTTTAACTTCACTCTCATGAAAGTAGGGTAACATATATTTAGAGCAATCGCATAAAATTTTACTGCATGTTACTTCTTATATGGTAATTAGTTTTTCCTTCCAATTTTTCTTAGGTCAAGGATCTGGAAGTTTGATCGGTGGAAGCCTTATCAGCATTTTAGGGTAACCTTTAGAGTAATAGGTGGAATCTCTGGTCTAGTTGCACTAGTATACTCTTTCCTGCATCTAGTTTGGCTTAGGAACAAAATCGAACAACCTCAGATGAGAGGAATTGCGATCAAAAGATTCGGCAAAGAAAAGAGTGGTAAGAGTCTTAAGAGATTATACATTTGTATATAAATTGACGAATAATGTTACTAAAGTCTGTACGTTTCTCAGCAGTGTATCTCTGCGGTACTATCTTTTTAACAGTGGGTTCAGCAATGGCAGCTTTACATCTATTAATTAAAAAAGTGCATTTCTTCATTAGGTATTACTTATTCTTACAGTTCAGTTGTCACAATTATTTCAAAATTCGTAGCGTAGTTTCGAATATACATTCATATTAAACGTTTCAGTTTATGTTTATATCTTATGATTACTCAAAATGTATTACTCAAAATTAAATTACGCAATTTTATTGGATAGTTTCTAGAGAAATTAGTACTTTTGTGCATGTAGTTTATGATATCACTTTCCCTTCCTTTTCCACAGTAGGATATCTGGTCCTGTTCTTGAGGAAGTGCTTAATTGGACATTAAATGCTCTATTAAACACTTCTTCCGTGATATGCAGACGGTTTAGCTAAGCGTATACAAAGAATAGTGCATGCTTCTGGCAAACATACGTTGCATAATAATCAGTCGGAATCATGCAATAATGCAGGGTTGGAAACACATCTTCATGTGATATTGTCATTGTTTAACCGCTAGTATCTTCATTCGAGATACCGTCATTTATAAGTTGACGGTAGAGATCGAGGTAAACGTAAAGTAAGGAACAGCCAAACAGTCAAAATAAATCATCCTATTTACTAGCCTTCTTTTCTGATTTAAAGCTCTATTGTTCGACGCTACAGTACCAGCTACACTTATATATATAGACAGATATGATATATGTGCATTTGCTGTTGTTGTTTTGTCCATGTATTTCGTGAAAGAATGGTTGCCAGATCCTCAAGAAGGTTGGACTCCTATTTCCACTCAGGGCTAAAGGGTTAGTTCATCAGCTTCTCGCGGCTTAAACCGAAAGAAGAGACTGATGACGTAGTTGGGTTCGCTTGCTCAGTTCTGCTGTTTAGTTTCTTAAGCAGTTGCTTGAGAGTCAAAACGCTTTGAAGAATAGTTTAATAACCAATATGAGCCGAGATTTTAGCTCATGAAATTGCAATATACACATGCATCTATTTATGAACTAGTAATGTATTTACGTCATACTAAATTAAACTCTAATACGCGTAAAACGTAAGTAAAACATGCATAAACATAACTAATTTTTTAATTAACACATATGCGTAAACATAACTAATTTTTTAGGTCGAGTGTACCCTAAATATAGTAACTCTTTTTCGTAATCATCTTTTTAAATATATGTAAATAGTAACCCACCGATAACATACGTAAATTTCTACATTTACGAAGAATTCTTTTTGCGTTAAAATATTAGTTAGTTGCAAAGTAATTTGCATTATAGAAATATTAAATAAAAACATGCAAGTACATTTTGAGAATACATGCTAAAGACCTTTACACATTCTATCTGATTAAAAATTACTTAATGCTAATAATAGATTTCATAACACATTAAAACGAAACAAATTTCCACTTCTTTCATTTTTTCTTTATCAATTAGCGTTGATAATGAGTAGTAGAATTTTGTAAGCTTTTGCAATGACTATTATGAAAGCATTAATTATGGAACATCAGCATTATTATTTAACGTCAATTACTCAAAAAATAATTTAAATATATTTTAAAATAGTATTTATATATTTTGGTAATAATAGCATATATTCTTACATTTTAAAAGTATATGCTCTGATACTAATTTATGTTTATGCAGAATTTCATGGTTTATTTTATATAGTAAAATTTAGCAGTCTAAATTAGTATATAATAATATATAATATTTTTATATAGTAGTCCAAATAATTAGCTGAAAGGTGCATAAATTAGGTCACAAATTAAGTGAATAATAAACCAAGTAATGATTCAAATTATTATTTTTGGTAGGAATAATATCAATCAACTTACATGATTTTGTTTTCTTATATAGTTTGGTTCGATAATCCTCTGTTAGTTTTCATCCATTTATTTGCTTTCTGGTCAGCTTTTCTTGCCGATACACGGGTTGCATTCCTATTCAACTGCCGAATCCTTATAAATGTTCGTTAAATGGCAAAATAAACGAATTGCACTCACGGAGGGAAAACGTTTCTCAAATTCAGAAATAAGATTCTGAATTACACCTCTACCTTTTCAGAAAGAACCGCCATGAAAAGAACGGAAAACATTTTCTATCTTCATCATCGTTTCCATCCAAACTGGTGATGGTACAGTTAATTCTCCTTTAGATAATAAAAATATCCAGGTTGAGTCGTTAGGAATATCTACGAATTTTTTTGATATTTCACCCAAAGTAAGATGCAATATAACAGGCCACATAAGTGAACGATTCTTGTTCATATGCATATCTCTCGTTGAATCATAAATTTCGGTTTCCCAAGGAAGTGACGTACATTCATCATAGATGTCTTCGTAATTAATTAAATAATCTTCGTATAAGGAAGACTCAAACATTTGTGTTTTTTCATTTGAAGAAAAAGCTGTTTCTAACAGCTCTTTTGTCAAAATATGCTTCAACTTTCTTCACATCTTCACAGTCATTAGCATTTTTCTTTAGACAATTTGGGTAATTTGTTTGCCAATAGCAACCTTTTCAGGCGAATTATTACGTCTGGTGGAGACGGATGGTCATTAAAACGCCCTAGACCCCGAATCTGGCTAAACAAGCTTTCTAATACATCTTGAGTCAGTCTTGATGTTAAAATATATATTTCAACATTTATAGATTTTACGTCGTCAAATAAACCGAAAAGCGAATTTATCGATATGATAATACCTTTCTGAAAAGGTAACATTGTCTTCTTTCCGCATACTCTGAGATCAAAAATCATTTGCTTAATCTCATTTAATTTTTCTTTTTGTACTTCATAATAGCTTTCTAAGGCCGAAAGCAGCTTTTAAAAGGCTTATTGCTAGGGGTAATGGATACACTACTATTCATAATGTCAAAAAATATCATCAACCATTGAAAAAAAAATTACTTGTTGCAGCATTACCAGTCAAATGCATAATTGCTTTAGCCGTTGTGGAGGAAAATAATGCTTTTTGCTGGTGCTACTTTCTGTCTCTCGTTTCCTTTTACAGATAAAAATTGAGGTTTCAGTTTATAGCACAGTTTAATTTCTCCGATATCTTTATTGAGTACTTCATATATAACGTCTTTGTTTATAATTGTACCATTTCCGAGCATAAAACCTTTATCAAGAAAATGGTTTCTCAAAAGCTTTATGCAATGCGGCATATCAGCGAAAACCCATATTTTGGTGCTGAACTTGGGACTGTAAAAGAAAGATTTAACTTGTTGAAATTTGTAATTCTTTCCAAAGGGTCTGACTACCTCCCATGTCAGATACAATTGTTTTGACTCGAAGCCCAGACGATAGTTTTACATTCCTTCAGGGACTGTTCTATTGCATTTCAAACGAGTAAAATTTGATTTTTTTGTAGCAAAGCGTAATATACAGCTCATATATTATAAATTTTGTTAGCATTTTTTCATAAAATATAGTATTTCAATTAAGGTTTATTTTATAGGTAGAAGTAATTATACGGCATCCAGTAACAAAGGGACTTCTGGCTCTTCTTTGAAATCAGGCGTAAATATTCAAGTGCTGACGAAACCGAACGATGACATTTTAGAAGAGAATGCAAATGTAAGAGCAACACAGTTGAAATTACAGGAAAGGAATTTGCCAGAAGCTCATAGTGATATTAGTATACATATTTAACGGATTTTAAATTATTAAAAAGGTTGTTAAAATATAATCAATGCATAAATATTCTTTTCTTTTTGTTACTGATTAAAACACTAATATAAATATACTTTTGCAAGCATAATAAAATATTTCAGAATTTTTAGTAAAATTTCTTTATGTCAGAAAATAAATGGTTTGTTATTGTCTTGAGTTTCTACGGTTTGAATATCTTGGTGACCAGTTATGGAATGAGCACTTTTTTTTTTCTGTCAAGTATGCGGAATTCTAAAGACTTGCTTAATTGCGGAATTCTAAAGACTTATTCAAGGATTTCAATTATTACGTAATTTTTTCCTCTGAAACTATGATGGACACTGCTTTACATACAAAATCCAATATGAGTATTAGCAACAAGAACAATACAGCATAATTTGTTTACTATTTGAAATTACATTCGTAATTAGATTTCCAGATAGAAACATCCAACATCAAGTGCAAGATTATATACGTACAAAAAGTCAATACGATGATGAAAAAATTTTAAATATTTATATTCTAAACTAGAAAGCCCAGGGTCATACGAAATGACCACTGTTCTAGATATCATAAGTTGTAATTAAAATGATTTGTGCAAAGGTGTCTGCTAATTCAAACTGACTTACCCAGGGCAGGCGGCGAGGACGCCCCTTTGCTTACTGCCTCACCGGGTTTCCCCCTTCTACTTGCTTATTGCTTAAACTAGAGTGAAATAAAGAAACCACTGCGGTACATCTCTTAAGAGCCACCGCTCGCTCAATAAATAAAGGTGATTTAAATAATAAAATATTAATTCACATGCCAAAGATCTCTTTGTACACAGCATTTCTTGTGTAGATCTTTTCATCATTTTTAAGCTGGCCTTGCAAAGGACTACGAATAATTTTTAATTTTACGTCTGTTCTTTCACGAACTCTTGAACAGGAATTCACGAACTTTTGTGTTCAGTTGGAAACCATTTCTAAAAATGATGATTGCTAATGCAAACAAATGTTCACGTCCCCCCTAACACGCTCGATTTTCTTTCAGCTGAAAATTCAATTTAAAATACAATTTCGGAATAAAATCGGACAAAATTTTAAACTCTTTTCTCGAAAGGATATCTAGCATAGGAGTTTGGGTAAACCTACCTGATGAGATGTACTACGCACAACTCGTTAGTTGGGTTTCGTCTCCTTTATTTCTCAACTTTCGCATTCTAGGTAATTCATTGTAAAAATAGTTAAATGCATATAAGCAACAAT